TCCTCCTGAGCGCACTGGGTGGGGGTTTGCTGCCTCCCCACGCGAGTCCCCGACATGCAGAGGAATCGGGAACCTCGTGGGGGCCGTTGCTGGACGGTGGCAACGGGCCTTGTTCCTTGGCTCACGGCTCTTGCCTTCACCTGTGCGCGCTGCTGCTGCTTGCAAGAGAGGGAACGCTTACCGCTTCTCGAGCGGGGAGCGGTGCAAGGGTGTTTTGTTTGATTAAAATAATAATAAAGTGATTCTTCGCGTTCCTACTGATTTAATAAGCTTTCTTTCAGACCTTAAATGCGAGACAAGTTTCAGGTCTTGTTACTAGACTTTCATCGTTTTAAAGGGCTCTAAAAAGACAACGTGAACTAAATGACTGTAAGCTTACTCACGTTGAAAAGCCCCATGATACTATATATTAGAAACACACAGTGCAAACAAGCTAAGCAAAATGTGTTTCTACCAAATAGTACCTTGGGTAAACGGAGGAACAAAATACTGAAAAAAATTTCTAATAATGTGGTATTCTTGCACAGTATGCTCTTGGCATAGTGGTAGCTGCAACGAAGGCATCTAATGGACTTCCTCAGCCTGGCGATGAGTATGACTTCTACCGAAGTTTCCCTGGCTTCCGAGCGTACTGTGAAACACAGGGTGACTGTCTCCTTCACTGGTAAGGATGCTTTTGTGTCTCTGGGCTGTTGCTAATAGCTTCTAATCCAAAACAGAAGGTAGCACCCTTCTTTGGAGACACCGAACTTGCTATAGATAAAAAGATGTTTTATTTCACATACCTAATTTTAACTACTTCCCTAGCACTTGACAGTTTAAGTAACAAGTTTAAAGAGGGGCTCTTATAATGATTTGGAAAAAGAGCTGTGTAGAGAGCAGAGACTGATATATTAGGCTATCTATTTTAGAAGTTACGTGGTTCATAGGAAATTAATTCTAACTCTTAGGACTGTATGGATATTTCTTCTGCTCACACGATGTTATCTATAAGTACTACATTTGATTTATTTTCAAACTTTAAAGATGTAGAAAGTTAAATGGAACTGATGATTTTGCGTTCAGCATGCCTGCTTCCAAATTGTTAATAGCCGTACTGTTCTTTTGCAAGTATGAGCAGGGTGATGCGATACCATGGCTGCCATAGCCACATGAAAGATCACAGTAAAGTGACAGATCTGGATGATAGATTTGATCTGCTGGTTGACTCCAACGATGTTATTCTTGAAAGAGTGGTAAGCAAATTATTTCTGGATGGTGTTCTTATAAACTGTTGGGTTGCCACAAGTTGTTCTTTCATTGCAAGAATTTCAGGGGTAGTGCTTTCACAGTTACGCTTAGTGTTTCCTCAGTCTGATGGTTTTAATTTTAAAAACATTTCCATGTGCTACAACAGTGGTCACAGCAGCTAAGGCAGATGGGTTATGGCAAAGGGCAAGAAGGTAATATGTGACCTGTGAGGAAACTAAACACAGTTTGACACAAGAACCTTACAACCTGAGAACAAGTCTGTAAAATTCATAGAGCTGCTTCTCTGAGGAAACTCTTCCTACCTCAGTGTTCAACATACTCTTCCCATGTTCGTCTGTCTCGTGTTGCACAGAATTTGGGGAGATGGCTGGGGAAGTATCTACTTCTGTGACGTTCTTTATTCAGTCTGACTAGAATGGTTGAGTGTGGTAATTTAACAGGTGTTTGGTGTTCACCTCTCTTTTCTGGAATGTAGGGTATTTTATTGGATGAAGCAGCAGGAGTGAACAAAAACCAGCAACCAGTCCTCCCTGCTGGGTTACAGCCCCCACAGACGATTGTTTCCAGCTGGAACCGCAGGGTGAGGCCTCTGCACTCAGTTTGCTATGTTATCTTTTTTCCTTAGCATTGGCACTATTGATTTTTCCAGTGAAGTTGAGTAATTAAATGTTTTTTCATGTATTTTTACACATCCTAACTCACTCCCTCTTTTTTTCTTTTCCTTTTTATTCAAACTTGGTTCTGGATTCTATGTGCCTTCAATTGCCATTTCAATTTCATGTATGCAACAGCCTTTGTTTTGCTTACTCATATGAGTTCAGGATCCTGATCCAAAGAACTTTCATTCTTAGGTGCTGGACTCACTGCAAAAGAGTGAGTCACTTTTGGGTTTGGGGTGCAACTTTATTCCTCTTAGTATTGGGTAAGACCAAGTAAAAGAAGCTCTGAACATCTGCTAACTCATCTGAGTTTTACCTGTGGCTTACCTTTTTTTAAATAGGCAGCAGAATCCCACAAGAGAAGTCAAACTGAAACCTTCCGGCTGCTTCATGCTAAGAATATCTCTCGACCACAGCTGAAGTTTCGGGAGAAGATTGACAATTCCAATACTCCATTTGTACCTAAGCTTTTTATCAAGCCAAATGCTTTGAAACCTTTGCCTGAAGGTAAGGGGTTTATTTTTTGTTGGGTAACCTATTGAGATTATTTGACCCAAATTTGTCATCACAGTCTAAAGGAGAAATCATTGACTGTAAAAACAGCAGGAGATGGTGACCATTTAGGCACAGTAGGCTCTGTGACTCTGTTGTTTATGTATGTGTAACATAAAGGTAGGTCAGCATACAGCATCTTCTTGTTGGTGTACAGTAAATAATCTGTTCCCCAAAAATGCTGCTCTTTACCACCATTGAATATGCACAATGAGAGTCACACTGGCACCAGAAGTGGTCTTGACTAGTCTAGTTGGCTTTACAGATACTTCTTTCTTATTAGTTAGGAGTGCGAGGTATATGGTTAGATCAACCTTAGCTTTGGGTGCTTTATCAAAGCTGCCAGCGTAACATCGTATCTTGGCAACGTGTCATTCTGCTGCTGCTGATTCATCCTTAGTCTGCACGGATGCAATTGTAATTTTAGTCACTGGAAATGATTGAAAGATTTTACTGAAGATTTTTCAGCATCCTTCCAGGCTCTTGAGCAGATCCACCTTGCGTCTTGCTTAACAACAGCCTGTTAAAACCTAGTAACTGAGTTGTCATTAGAGGTGCAGACAGAAATCTTGCTGACAGCAAAAGCTGCAGGTCTAAATTGTTAAGATTTTTGATACTTCATGGTTTTAATAGGATCTTGTGGTGGGTGGAGGGGAGAGACTAGTAGGCTGAGAACATGTTATGTGTGGGATCCAGTCCAGTTGTTCCGTATTGGTTGTTCAGCCCTCACAAAAAATGGACGGGAACGAAAGGAGCGCCCCGAAGACTTGGATGTACCAGCTGCTTTGGCAGACTTCATACACCAGCAGAGGACGCAGCAAACTGAGCAAGACATGTAAGAAATTAAACTGACAGCAAGGTGCTTGGAGTACCATTGGTGAACGTGCACTTGTGTGGTCCCATTGTGCTGATGCTATTCATGTGTGACAGCTCTGCATGTGTTTGTGTCTGCACGCTACGTTGCGTGTGATTTGCTTTAGACATCTGCAGTTATTTTAAACCTATGTTTAATAAGGGACAAAATTTTTACTCAATAAGGAAACTGCCATAGCTCTCAAAGTCTTTGTGCTCTGGCTTCGTAAAGATGACTGAAATTTCCTCTGTGCCTGTCTTCCTGATTTCCACAGGTTTGCTCACCCTTACCAGTATGAACTGGAGCATTTTTCTCCACCAGATGGAGTTCTCAAGAAACCAGAACCCCAGGTTAGTGCCCACATTAACTTAAACTTAGTGCAGATGCAGTAAGTTTACAGCCAGCCATACTTGATGAATTTCAGAATTGAGGGTGGAGGTCAGGGCTGGGAATTGACAGAAAACATACCATGTCTAATAATTTGCTTTACCAGATGTACAGGCCCATCAAGGAAACACCCTGTCATTTTATCACCACACTGGATGAGCTGGTAGAACTAAATGAAAAGCTTATGAACTGTAAAGAATTTGCTCTGGACTTAGAGGTAATCAGATTGCCTTTTGTGTTTAAAAGTTGCATGTGTACTATTAGTACCTAGGAGACCATTATAGTCTTCTAGTCTGTTTTGTAGTCTTCTTTTTCTCCTGCTTTTTGTACTTTCTGACATGGAAAGACAGGTCATGACCCTTCTAGATATTATCTAGAAGATCGAATTAAACTGTGTCTGTATTATAAGTTTTCCAATGGGCAGTACTGGCTGCACACTTCATACTGAATTTATTTCAATTCCTCCCATGTTTTTTTATGTCATGTTACTGACTGCAAAGAGAAAGCTTGCTCATCTAATTGTCTTTTGCTTTAAGAAGTCCTCTGTTACTTTTTCTTCCTTCATTTGGGGTCTGTTTGTTTTATGGTATTACTTCTGTAATGGATCCTAGCTTACATCTCTTCCATGTTGTTCAGCACCATTCCTACAGGAGCTTCCTGGGCTTGACATGTCTGATGCAGATTTCCACCCGAACAGAAGACTTCATTATTGATGCACTGGAATTGCGCAGCAACATGAACATTCTCAACGAGACGTTCACAGACCCTGCGATTGTGAAGGTCAGCTGCCAAATTCACCAATTCACCACCAGAATTCATTATTATTATTGTCGTCGTTGTTGTTGTTCAGCTACCAAATTCACCAGTTCACCACCAGAATTCATTATTATTGTTGTTGTTGTTATTATTTATTATTATTTTCATCCCTTAGTTTGAGCTTTATTATAGTTAAGAGCACACTGTGTGCTCTGTCTTGGTCACTTGGCTCTGCTTTCATTGTAATTTGTTCATGTGCCTGTTTCCTCAATGAAAGTGGGGAGTGACTTGCCAAGTCCACTCATTTAGTAGTTCTGCACTTAACAGTGAAGGACAGAGAGAAATCTGGTCCTAGACACATGAATGTGGAACCACAGAACTGCCAGCCTGGAGTAGAAATGTTCTTCATGTCGTTCTCAATTTGTTTTGCTTTTCAAGGTCCTTCATGGTGCCGATTCAGATGTGGAATGGCTGCAAAAAGACTTTGGTCTGTACTTGGTGAACATGTTTGATACTCACCAAGCTGCTCGTCTCCTCAATCTTGGCAGACATTCTTTGGACCACTTGCTAAAGCTGTATTGCAATGTAGATGCTGACAAGCAGTACCAGCTGGCTGACTGGAGGATACGGTAAAAACTGACCCCTTAAATGGGCTGGAGCTGCAAGGTAGCGCTTATCCTTGTTTGTATTGTTAGAGCAGGAGCATGTTTCTAGTTGCAAGCCCCATAGTTGTAGGTTGGTCTCAAAGTGAATGAGCACAGCATTTACTTGCTGTGCTTTAAGTTCTTTTATGACTGTTATGTTTTCCCTCGTTTCTTTAGAAAATGTGTTCTTTTGGGAAGATCGGGGAGGATTAAGTAATAGAAAGCTCCTGGAAGCTCAGTTTTTAGGAACAGTGCTTAACCACTGCAGTATTATGGAGAAAGTCAGTATTTGCTCCTCTAGAACCCCCACAAAAACATTCAGTCACCCGAGCTAAGTAGCGAGTGTGCTGTTGGAGCAATGAGCTTGGCTATGCAGATGGACCCCGCACACCACAGAGATCCCAGGCCTACTTTATGTAGGCTCTGCAGAGAGAGAAGAGTTATGACAAATACCATAGCAAGCAGTTCTGCCATCTCACTTAGCCACACGGCAATCCTGCTGTCCGGCATGTGAGCAAGATGCCACCTGAATTGGAGAGTGCACAGCATATTACTGCAGTTGGCCAACAAATCCTTCAGTAAGGACACAGAAGAATTTCTGTATTAGTTCTTGACGTGTTTTACGTGCAGTTTACCCTAATATGCCTTGCAAGAGGGAAATGACAGCTTAGTGGGGCAACTGAAATATATTAGTGTAATTTTGGCTCTTTTTCTAGCCCTTTGCCAGAAGAAATGATTCAGTACGCCCGTGACGACACTCACTACTTGCTCTACATCTATGATAAAGTGAGGGAGGCACTGTGGGAGAGAGGGAATGAGCAGCCCACTCAGTTGCAGGTTGTGTGGCACCGCAGCAAGGACATCTGCCTGAAGGTAAAGCTTCACCTGGTTGGATTACCTGAATCAGAGTATGGGCTTAGCAGGACAGAAAGTCCTTTGCCTATTCTATGTCTGTTGCGTACACACAGGATTTTTTTTCCTCTGCGTGTGTCTGAAAACAGCTGTGTAAACACTGACTCAGTTGTGTGCAGGCACTTGTTTCACTAGCTAAAATCCTTAGATTGTGATGCCTTCTTCCTGTTTCCTGAATGCTAGCACTTCTTGGCCTCCTGATGCTTTCAGGTGTGTCTTTCCCAAGAGCAGGGTTACGTTTCCAGTTCTGCTGGACATTCCTCGTCTAATGTAGTAAAAGTGTGAAGATACTGTATGTCTAAAGCTGCTCCTGGAGCTGGTGAAGGTGGTTTTCCCCTAAAAATGGATGAGATTTATGTTTTTCAGGGATAGGCTTCTACCAATAGTTTAGGGTTAAAACTCCAAGGCACATTGTACCTGAGTTTATTCAGTTCCCTGTATCTGTGTGAGATTCTGTCTTGGTGAAGCAAAGCAAACTTGAAAGCACAAATCTGATACTGATCACAAGTGTTTCTTTTTTCCTGTCCAGAAATACATCAAGCCCCTCTTTTCAGATGAATCCTACCTTGAGCTCTACAGGAAGCAGAAAAAACATCTCGACACACAGCAGCTAGCGGCATTTAGGTTGCTGTTTGCATGGAGAGACAAGATTGCACGTCAAGAGGATGAGAGTACAGGGTAGGAAGTCTTTTGTTACAGACGCTGGCTTAATAGTCTCTTGGATTGTGCCCCTCTGCTCCTCGCCAAGGTGGATCCACCACTTTGTTACCTATAGAAATTGGTGTCCTACCTCGGGCTGCTTTTTACACAGAAGTCCTGTTATGTTAGCAGTAAATTTTTACAGGTATCTAGATCAGCCCTATTTAAATTCTTTTTAACTGATTTCATCTTTTCAGACCTTGTAATTGGGGCAGACTTGTGCACTTTGAAGGTATTTTTAAGAGTTTTTAACATTCTGTTACATTCACACCGCCTCTTTGTGTTGTAGATACGTGCTACCAAATCATATGCTATTGAAGATAGCAGAGGAACTGCCAAAGTAAGTTTTGTTCACCCTTGAGGAGTCTTATTTGATTTTAATACCCAGGAAAGTCATTTCCTAGTGTGCAATTACTTCTGCAGTTGGTCCTATCAATACTGCTTTTCTCTATAGTTCTTCAGTTCAGAAGAGAAATAAATAGCAATGTTCCTCCAGAAGCCTCCAGACTTCTGGGATACATCTCTCTGATTTTATTCCACTAATAAAACACATTCCTTTGCATTGCTATATGTCACATGTCCCTCTTGAGATTCCTACAGTATTACAGAGCAAGAGAGGGATGAGTTCCCCCCTAACATTTATTTGGGGTTTTTTTCCTAAAGAGATTGGGGGTGGGAGTAAGGGACAGATCCCTTAAAACGCCCAATTTATACAACATTTTCCTCAAACACTTGGCACTCATTATCTAATATCCATACTTGAGAATAATAAAAATGCAACTTTAAATGCAAGTCCACTGCTGGGCTCAACTTCTATAGATGAATATTGAACAAGGAACGAAATGAAGATGAGGACAGACAGGCAGACCACAGAAAAGATAAGTGAGAGAACTGAGTTAATGGTTTCCCCTTATCTGCACAAACCTGGTACAGGTTTTTCATCACAGAGAATAAACTCGGACAGATTAATCTGACTTGTCTTACTCTGACACAGTAGGACCGTGGTTATATCTGGTTGCACGTCCTTTGAATGCAAATGCCTGACACCTTGGCCATAAATACAGCACACTGAATTCTTCTCATCTCTCTTTAGAGAACCCCAGGGCATCGTTGCTTGCTGTAATCCAGTCCCACCACTAGTTCACCAGCAGATTAATGAATTGCATCTTCTCATTCAGCAGGCCCGGGAGATGCCTCTTCTCAAGGTAGGAGTAGCTCGTACCACACAAGAGACTCCTCGCTTGCTTTCCATAAGCCAGGGACTGGAGCTAAATGGTGACCTATGATGATGTGTATGACAAAGTTTGCTTTTTGAACAGCCTGAATATAGTGTTCTGTAGTAGAGCACAAAGATATATTACAACTTCTTGCCTGTCTATTGTCTGCTGAGTACTGGCTTACACACAGTGTAGTTTCCTGGAGAACTAGAGCAGTGAAAGACGACACTACTTGAACAGGGTGCAGTTGTTTGTCTTACAATGTACGTCATGTTTGCCTGTGTGAGGAAGAACCAGACCTTGTGGAATTTGTTGGCCATGTAAATGGATTCATAAATCTTTTACAGCTATGGTGGAGCAAAAAAAAAACCTCCTAGGTGTAAAAGGTTCATTACTTAAAATATATCATTAGCATGTTAATAGTAATACAGTCTTCCTCTAGTGAAACAAAAGCCATTTGTGAGCATGAAGGTGTCCTTTCTGTGTGAGGTGTTTAATGTATCCGTATGCAAACACTGCGGGAGAAGAAGAGAAAATGTAATTTTATTAACCTACCAGCTTGTAATAAATGTGTTGAAAACATTGATAAGGAGGCCAGCCTAGAAGAAATAAGGCAGGTGCATTTAAGTGACTTATCTTTCTCTCCCATTCTAGTCGGAGATTGCTGTGACAGTCAAGAAGAGAGAACCTCCAGTCAGCCCTGAGGTACCGTTTGCATAATATTTGTTACCTAATGTATTAAGCCTTAAACTCAGAAACAAATGCAGCAAAACACTAGCTGCTAGGAAACTGTTTATTCTCATCCATTTTACAGTTGTCTCTGCTTTAGGGTAATGTTACTTTTCTGTGCTCAACTCATAACATTGCCAGCTGTAAATGGGCATTTTATAAACCACCATAGTAGCAGCACTTAAGGCTCCATCAGCAAATGCTCCAGCTGCTGGACAGTTTCATGTCTGTTAGTCTGTATTGACTGATTTGTAAGAAGGAAGGTTTCAGATGAGTGTCTAAGGCTGACTCATTTATTTGCCTCATGCATGTGAAGTAAAGCATCTCCATTAGCCAGGGGATGTTTGCGCAGATATCCTTTTGATGCCAGATGCAATATGCTCTGGCAGGTGAACTATATTAAGAATATTCAGTCTCTGAATTTCACTCTTTTATTTGAATTTTCATTAATGTGTGTCTGCAATATGTGAAAGCATACACAGATCATAGTCTATTAATGGTGGTTTTAATTTGAATCTCTCTGCAGAGGCTGGAGAATACCTTCTTTGGACCACATGACAGTTCCCGGATTCCTGTGGATGATTTTCGGAACAACTCAGCCTTAGGTAATTTGGACTTAACCTAAAAACCATACTAATAATTACATGATGTGGCTTTGATATGGGGAAAGAAGCAGCCCTGAAGAAACTTTCAGTGAAATCTCATTACACAAAAGAGCAGTAAAATATACAAGTATCTAATAAAAATATTGTCTCCTTTTCATGTAGAGCCCGCATTAATTTTGGAACATGGTTGTCTCTTTTCAGACAGTAAGGAGACAATGGATATTCAGTATGTTCAGCCAGAGTCAACGTGTCTTGTTGCTACAGCCACTGTCAGCATATTCAGTGTAAGCAACATGTTTGTGATAGTGTCGGTATTTAACTATTAGAAAACATACTTAATAATCTGATAAAACTGTGTGAAAGTGTTGCAAGAAATAGTAAAGTGGGACATGCATGAAAATGGTACTGGCTTCCTGTCAAGTATATGTCATAACCCAGACAACGAGGTTAGGAGGCCAGCAGGTTAATTACATCTCTGGAGGGTTACTGACATCACTGGAGTTTCAGATAAAGTGAGAAATACCATGCATGGAATGGCAGTAGCCAAAACCAAAAATTAATGTTAGTATTTCTTCTTTTTTTGTTTGTTTGTTTTAGGAACGTGACGAAGATGAAGGAAAGAAGGCCTTAACCTCTGCACAGCAGAAAGCCCAGCGTATAATGGAGTCCTTTGAAAATCCATTTCGAATGGTAAAAGCTCCCAATACATACTTGTAGTGGGACTCACAAACTACCTAGTGTAGAAGATGCTCTGAGCTGTGATACAGCATCAGCTGCTGCTCTCTTACTGGAATTGAGAGAGTGTCCTCTTGCAAAGCGCGCACATGTGGACTTGTTTTCAAAACACATTGAAATGCCTCTTAGATATCTGTCTTTCTACATAGTAAACAGACTATGGGTTTTTTTAATCAAGTTTGAGGGTTTTTAAATTTGCATCACATTTTCATTTTTACTTTCTAGCTAGAGTTAGTGAGCTGATTTTACTCTTCTAATGAATCAGAAGAACAATAGAATACTTTCTTATAGATTTGGAGTGGCAAATTACGAGAAATAATATCAAACCAACTTTTTCTGGTGTGTAGTTGGGAGTTGGTTTTTCATTTTGTTTGGTTTTCCTTTAACATTTCTCTTGGTCATAGCTGTGGTAATTATTCTTTTTCCAAAAGGTGATCTATCTGTAGAATGTTTCTTAAATACAAACTTTGTGATTCGAAACATTTTAAGTAGCATTTTAGCAATGAGCTAAATATCATGTGCTATGTTTAAAGCAAAATGGTTTTTTCCTCTCTACAGTACCTACCTTCAGAACAGAATTCTGCATATGTCTCACAATCTGCAAAGTTTGACCCATCATCAAAAATTTATGAAGTAAGACTCATGCTAAAATTTCCTGCCAAGTACTACAAAAGAAACAAATAAGTAGATTATTTTCCTTTGGGAACCCCAGCAATAGGATTATTTTTTTTTCTCTTTGAATTCTCCTTAGGCAAAGAATCTTAAGTTTTGAGAAACTTGACAGTTTTCTGCATCTGTAGTTCATTGTTTCTGTAGCATTTGTATCCTTAGAAGAGCCAGGGATTGGAGACTTTCCACTGTATGTTCCCTGTCAGTCAAAGCTGCAAACTACTGCTGAAGCCTGTATCTGCTGTTGTTCTCATGGCTTGTATGTAGCTCAGAACTTTTAAAGCACATGGTTTTACTTTACCTGCTGCAGCAGATCTTAATCTCTTTTACAATCCAATTTGATCTTTTGTACTCTTAATGAAGACCAGCATGTGGTAGCAAGTTTATGAACTCCTTTTTGCCATAAAACTTCAAAGAAAGTGATCCCAGGTAATTTTTTTCATTGCAGATCAGCAATCGATGGAAGTTGACTCGGACAGGAGTACGGAAGGAGTCCAAGGATGAAACTAAAAAGAAAGCAGCCCAGCAGTCAGGTACAGCCATTCTTCCCTTCCCCAATGCACATAGCTTGTTTCCCAATTACAAGAAAACCTTAGATGATGGATGTCCTGATGGATAAGATAGATCGCTTGACAAAGATTGTACTCTGTTTGGTTTGAGACTTGCTACCACCTGGTTTGCTTGCCTATTCCAAGCTCCTTGGTAACTTACTCCTGCCTTTTACAGTAATGCTGCTTTGTTTCCATAGCTGCTCGTGACCAGGCACAGAAGGTGTATAAAGAGGCAACAGAAACTATTGTGTCTGTTCGTCAGCAAGCTGTGGTATGTCATTTATTTCCCTACTTCCAGCCTTTGCCCCTTTTGACCTTTGTAACATAGTTCAGAATGAAACCCTGAGCTCTATAACTCTGAAATACCTGAATGGCAGTCTTTTGATAACAGTCTCTCTGTGGTTCTGGCCTGTGTGTAGCAACAGCCCCTAGTAACTGTACTGTGTGCATCCTCGCATCCCTCCATATCTTCAGTAGGGAACATTTTCCACTGCTGCACTTCTCTGCTCCTCACTTAGTTTCCCCCAGATCTGCCTGTGGGGCCACAGCAGATCTCAGCCTTCAGTATCCTGTGAAATGACAACTTGGCTTTTCATCTGAGAAGTCCCTGCTGTGAGGGGGGGGTGGAGGGGAAAGCCATTTAGGCCCAAAGAAGACGACAGTGTTTTCTCCCTGCGCTATTCTTGCCACAGGCAATAGCTGCCACTGGGACCTAGGTCCATTGGGCAGTTCATCTGTATGCTGGTGTTCATGCCTGCACAGAGATGCTTCATTCTCCTCTCCTGAACTTGTCCTTGTTTCTATTCTGTGGGTTGCTTTCACAGCAGGAACAAGCTAACAAGAAGAGGGGGAGAGTCACGAGTGAAACGGGAGCAGAGTTGCCAAAACAAGAGAAGAAACGGCCAAAACCCTCCCAGCAACCAGAGGAGCTGGAAGCAGCGAAGCAGTTTACCCCCTTTGATTACAGCAAGTCCAACTTCAAAGTGTTTGCGGGTAAGATCTGGATCTCTTGCTAGAGTGCTGCAGGCTGTGGAAAAATGTTGCCAGCTGAGCCCTGAGAAGGCTGTGTGTGAATGTAGGTGCCAAGGCAGTACAAACTGTTACAATGCACTTACAGTAGGGAAATAGTAAAAAGAAATTAACTTGGGGAATGTACAGTTTAGTATCCTGTTTCTGATTTGGAAACAAAATCCTGAAACCGTCGGCCAAGGGGATTGTGGATACGTATTTTGCTGCTTTTCTCTGTAGAGAAAGTCATCTGTTTAATTGGACCCCGGGATCTAGGAGGCAAAGGAGATTTGACTCCTTTTGTAACATGTACTGAAAAGCATCTCACAGAGACTGTTGTGGTTTTTATTGTCAGAGGGACACCGTGGAATGTACTGTTCTTTCTGGAAAATTTTAGTGACAGCTTCTCTCGTCTCCCCCTTAGGAAGCAGCAAGTCGAAGCAGTCGCCACAATTTGATCCTGCCAAGCAAACTTACACAGGCAAGGTACGGGCATGCCATAAAAAAAGGAACAGAAATGTTGATGGTAGTATGTACCCAGCTGGGGACTCACTGGGAAAGATAGATTATTTTTTTTCTGCAGAATGTTCCCTGACAGCACTTGATACTGAAGTGCAGCTTCCAGTCACGAGCTGTTACTTTGTATTATAGCCTCTTCCCATTCAGGAAGAGCTTTTTTGCAGCCCCTCAGACTCTCTTGTTATTTCCCACCTCTTCATACAGCCATACATCACAGGTGCAACACTTAGACCACAGCACAATGCCACAAATTCCCAATAGCAAATTCAAGGCACTCCCAAAAATCTCGCAGTCAGTCCAGTTATTCCAAGCCGTGGCAGGTTTGCATGTTGCCCACGTTCACCACCACGTGCTGTCGTTAGGAAAACAGTCTCGGCTCAGAGAATTTTCACTTAAATTATTGCTAATTGAGATTGAGAGAATGAAGAGAAGAAAGAAAACATTAACAATCAAACACATACTTGGGGAAACCTGTGACCAGCACAGGGCAGTTCCTGTGTTGTCGTTGTCCCCCAGTTCCAGGTTACCTAAAACCCCGCATGTATACCCTGCATAGCGCTCATGCTTGGAGCATTTGGGTGCTGGTACGTGATGTCACACGAGTGGGGATTAAGGCATGAAGTAATAAGGTGTCCATGTGTGAACTCGGTGGGCGCTCAAACATTAATTTTAAGTTCTGAAGCTCATTTCTTGCATTTCAGCCTCTTTCCTGTGCATGCTGCCTTCCTGGGTGTTTAACTGGAGGGCAACCAGGGGGCATCTTAGATATTCATTAAAAATTGTATTTTGGAAGCTGAACAAGTTTATGCCCAGTAGTGTAGTAAACAGTTTCCTGTGCAATCCCTCTCCTGTGTCAGTTGAAACTTGTTTCAAGAGAGAAAAAGAAACCGATTGGCGAATTTGGGACAACCTGTACAGATCTTTCTGTCTAGATGGGTAAGATTTGTTGTCAGTGTGGTGGTGTGCCTCACATGTCAAGGTTAGACCAGTAGAACAGCACTTCCTCAGATGCATTCAGCACATATGCATGTAAAGAAGTCCTAAAACATAAAGCTGACAGTGTAAATGAGCAGGTTCCTTGAAGTTGGAGGGACCTGAGAGCACCTGAATACACTGTATTTGGCAGGTACCTCACTGCAGTGGTGATGATGTTTGTTTTGTTTTCTTTTCTTCTGTGCAGAAATTTGCTGGAGCTAACAAACTGCACCAATCTGGAAACCGAAGCATGTCCTACCTGGCCGGGAAAGCTGATCGGTTTGTTGTCATCTCCTCTCATCTCGGTGGTGGGGTATTCACACCTGTGCCCTGGAGCTACGGGCAAAGCATAGTTAATGTCCTCTGTTACTGTGGGAGCTTAAGCACATGTTTAATGGGAGGAGGTTGCGTAACACCTACTCATGTCCTTGACGTCAGTTTAAAGGAAAAAAGAAAAGGAAAAAAAAAAAGCCTTAGTCAGGATTAATGCAATCAAAGACAATTCTGGGTGGAAAGTTCGAAATGCTGAGGTAAAAGTTTGTGTAAGAGACTTGGGAGTGGCTTTCTTTGGCCACAAAGGTAGAGGTGGGGAGAACATTTGCCTAGCTTGGGAAGAGGATAAATAACAGTGCTGCCAAATCTTGAACAGTCTTGTTCTGAATAGGTGCTTAATGAGTAGCTCATCAGGCTTAATCCACATGTATTATTTAATCATAAAAGAGCAACACTCCGTAAGGGCAGCATCCGAGGGAGAGAGGTTGTGTCTGCATCATCACCCTTTCTCAGTAGAATTGTTGTAACCTTTCAAAGGTTTTCAGTCTTAAGTGAATTTAGAGCAAGAGTTAAAGTCTTTCTGTAACTGTCTTTTTGCAGGGGTTCCAAGCACCACTGGCCAAAGAGATAGTCCTCATCACAGGACCTGCGGGAGTTGCTGTGAACGAAACAATAGTCAGAAGTATTGTCACCATGAGAAGGCAAATACTGGTCATTGAGCAGTTTTTGTACAGAAATGTTTTTAAACCCATTAAACCCCTTTTTTTCTGAAAGGAAAAACATCTTCACTGATTTAACTTTTATTATGTTTACATTGGGGTTTTTCTAATTATACTCACAATGTTGCTTTGTTTCCAATTTTGAAAGTTTATCCTGTGTCCTCAGCCACAGCCTAAACTTGTCACTTCTTGGAGTTGCTTGATGTCCAGAACCAGCATGTCAGTGGAGAGGAACCTCTTGGCATCTCCAAAGCCAGCATGAAAAGAATAGAGAGATTCAGTAGATGTGACTCAAACCCCAGCAGTCCAGAGGAGGAAATAAGGCCAGACTGTCGTTTAGGTTAGCAATAGCATTAGATAGGAGGTGAAAACACAGAGTGCAGTATTGGGTTGGGGAAAGCCAGTGAGGTTCTGGGCTGCAACTGAATCTCAGTACAGCTATACTAACATTTCATAGTTTTAAATACCCACAGTGAGTTATCCTGAAGTCTTTGTAGAAAGAGTAGCAGCCCATAATTTGCTGGATGGCAGAGCGTATTCTAAATGCTGACAGCTGAAGGCTGGTAAAAAGGCTGCTGTGAAAGAGGTAAGCAACTTAAGTCAGGAGTACTGGAGGGTCGGGCTGATGGCTTTGCTTGGAGCCATATTAAATCAGTGGCGAGCTGCTTCCTGGATGACTGGTCGCTGAGCAGTGGATCTTGCTGCCTTTCCTACAGGCCCTGTCTTTACTCTGCAATTCCCTTTTCTGGCTAAGGATTTTCCATTTCACGCTCACCTGTTTGGGCAATGACAGAATTTACTTCTCTGGCTGTTGGGCTAGGGGCAAGGACTGAGTGGGTGGTCGTAAAAACTGCCCTCTCCATTCCCAACCCCAGGGCTTTATTTTACAAAGACTGTGAGGAGGTTTGGGCTTTTGTTAGTTTTCAATCTTTTCCTGTATTTCTGGGGACTAGGGAGTGGAAGGAACAGAGGAGGGTTTTTCTTCCTTAGGTATTTTAGTATGAACAGTGCCAACCAAGCAGCATTGTAACGGTAGAACAGAGTCCCTTTCTGCTCATAAAATCTGCTTGCATGGCTGAGTGCTGGAGAATGTTTTTTTGAAAAGAGGCAGTTAAATAGTGATTGTCTCTGAGTGCATTTGCAGAGGCTGCCTGTTCCCCTTCCTGTCAGCTTTACCACTTCTGATAGTTCCATAATTCAAGAACAAGTAACTCTTACCAAGAGCCCGTTGGCTGCAGAGAGATTAAAATTTCTGTAGTGTAAGTCCTCTACTTAAAATTCCATGCAAGGTGACATTTCAAGGATTATTTTAATTTTAGTCTTTTTCTGGTTTCCCTTTATGGCTTACCGCCATGGGTTTTAAAAATGCCTTTAATGGCAGCGACTAGGAAATCCATGCGCGCTTTATTCACCTGGTTACACCTGTGAAGGGGATGGAGTTGTAGCACTGGAATCCCACGCTCTAAGATGGTTTTGCGCTCACCCGGCAGTTTGTTCGGGATCTTTGGGTAACCCGGTTGCAGAACCGCTCCCGGTGTAACCTTAGTGCGTTTCTCCCGCAGTCCGCGTGTTGTAACGGCACGAGCACTAGCGAGGAATCTGCTTTCACAACGGCTAACCCTCAGACATCCCGAGGAGGCTTCCCTCCC